ACATACGCACTCACACTTACACATACATACACTCACACACATTCACATTCACACTCATGCACTCATTCACAAACGCATACACTCATACTCACAATACACACATACACACATTCTCTCACTCACACATATACTCACACTCTCACCACATACACACAGTCTCAGATCTCTTTGAAGACCCCACCCATTCCAGAAGCCAGAAGCCCCTCTCCATCACAGGCTGGGAAAGCTGGAGGCTCCCCACTCCAATGCCTTTTGACTGAACAAGTCTTGCTCAAGCCATCTATGTACCAGGCCCTTTGTAAGCTGGGATGGGAAACAGTGACAGAAATGAAGCAGCCCCTGCCCTCCAGAAGCTTCCGTTCCACTAGAGGGAAATAGCACAGTTCAGGAATCCTCTAGTCCCTTGTCTAGATGGAAACCAAGGCCGAGAGGGTGCCTGACTTGCCCAAGGCCACACCTCCAGAGGTGAAGCTGGGAGGAGCGAGCCCTTCTGGGGAGGAGCAAGATTTTGAGAGAAGACCCCCACCCAGCATGGGCATGGGCGGGGCTTCTGTGCTTGAAGGTGGGCAGAGGGTGCATGGGGTGGGGCTGGGGGTGCCAGGAGGCATCGCCCAGCACCGGGCGGCCCCCTCCGGGCGTCCCCTCTTTTTTCTATCATGCAGGTGCTGGGACATGAACGAAAGCTCTCCCTATTGGTGGATTGTCAAAGGGCCCATTGTCCTTTCAGTCGGGGTGAGGCTATCCTCTCTGGACCTCCCTGGTGGCAGCCCCTGACTGGTCCCCCAGAGGGGATCCGGGGGCTAGCATCCCCCACTCTGAGCCTCGGTTCTTCATCTGTAAAAATGAGTGTGTTGGAGCCCCTGTCCCATGGGGGGCTGCGGTTGTCCTGGGTCAGTCTACTGTCCTGTCCCAGGCCCATTCAGGCCCTTCCATCCAGCCTGATGCCCCTTGAGACGTGCGGGGTCCCCCCTCCTCTCTGTGCGCAGGGGGCCTTGCTTACCCCTCCCGTCTTGTTTCTGGCACCAGATCACCTTCGGGCTCTTCCTCAACATCGTCCGCATCTTGCTCAAGAAGTTGGAGCCAGGACAGAACACCTTCCAGAGCCATGCCCAGTACCGGTGGGGCGCTGGGGAGCTCGGGAGCGGGGCAGGCCTGGGGAAGGGAAGGGCTTCGAGCGTACAGTCCAAGAGGGACTGAGGCAGGAGGGAGGGTTGAGCTACCAAGGGGTGGCCTGTAGTGGGGCTGAAGGGGAGGGGCAAGGAATTCCAGGAGGGTCTTGTATGGGGAGAGCTCAAGAGAGACAGGCTGGAGGAGATGGGGAGCTCTGCCAAACTGGGGATAAAGTAATACTAGCGGACTTTTATACAGCACCTACTATGTGCCAGGCACTGTGAGGAGTGCTTTACACATAGGATGTCATTGGATCCTCACAACAACCCTGGGAAGGAGGTGCTGTTATTATCCCCACTTCACAGTTGGGGAAACTGAGGCCGGTAGAGGGGAAGTGGCCCAGGGTCACACAGCTTACTGACTGTGTCTGTGGCTGGATTTGAACCCAGGTCTTCCCAACTCCAGGTCTGGCGCTCTGCCCACTGCACCACCTAGCTGCCTTATGGGTATAGTTTCAGCTGCCCTGCCAACCTAAAAGAGTTAGTCTTTACAAAGTGGGAGCTAGGAATTATTCTGGGACCTAGGGAAAGGTCAAGGCAGTGGGGAAGGTTATTCCCAGGCATGGATGAGAGGAGACATCAGGGCCCGGGACACTCCCAGGGAGGCTGGAGGCTAGGAGGTAGGCAGCAGGGTTTGAGCTCATCCCACAAGAGGGTAAGGCGGGAGCAATGAGGTCTGGGGTTCTTGGGTCGTGAGGACTCAGCCAAGGATGGATGGTCAGAGTCCTGGTCATTTGAAGCAGTAACAGGAGCCTTTCTCTGAGGCTGCAAAAGCTGGCAGCCTCCCAGCCTCCCCCTCCCCGGCACAGGACCCTGGGTAAGATGAGATGGAATAGGAAAGCCCTGGACCTGGGTTCTGACCTACAGAATGGGTGGGTATGGCTTGAAAGCAGCTGCTGTGAAAAGTACTCTGGCATAGTGGCCATGGCCTGGGACCTCCGCATACCAGTGTGGACGTGATAAGCCACAATCAGAGAGAGTCTGAGCACCAGGCTTTGAGGAGGTGCTGACGAGTCACTGGAGCTGGTGGACAAGGCTGGAAAGGGACTGGCCTTGGAGGGGGGGAGATCTGTCTCCAGCACTGGGCACTGGGCAAGTCACTCATCCTCTTGGAACCTCAGTCTTCACATCTACAAAATGGGATCGAAACACCTGCTTCACCAGGTGATGGGGAGCACTTCGGGAAGCGCTTTTCGAACCCACGTTGGATGTCAGGGTTCACGGTTGTTCTCATGCCATGTGCACGGAGCCCAGTCTTCTCTGCTGTGCCTCGCGCTGGTCTCCAGATGATGGCAGGGCCACGACTGACCAGAAGGGCCAGCTTGCTGGGAGAGATATGGCCTGGAGAAGAGCTGGCTGCCCATCACGGGGGAGGCAGCATGACACAAGGCTGCAAATATTTGAAGGGCCGTCATGTGGAAGAGAGATGAGTCTTGTTTTCCTTGGCCCCAGAGGTCAGAAGTGGACATTACAGAGGGCCCCATCCCGCTCGATGTAAGGAAAGTTTTCCTACCAATTAGAGAGGAAGGAATTTGCCTAAACTCACACAAATTCCTCAGGTGAGGTGGGCGGCCCAGGCAGGTAGAGCTCCTCTGCCCTGGGGGTCTTCGAGCAGAGGCCTGATGAGCTCTGGCCATTTGAGAAGGGGCCCTTGTCCAGGAGCAGGAGAGCTGGGCTAGGCAGCCCCCAAGGCCCTTAGTGGGGACTGATGCCAGGAGAATTCTGGGAGAAGCCAAGAATAATACCCCACTTTAAGATTTGTGAAGCACTCTACCAAAATGATCTCATTTTATCCTCCCAACAAGCCTGGAAGGTAAATGAAGAAACTGAGGCAGGCAGAGGTACAGTGACTTGCTCAGGGTCATTCAGCTTGTTCAGGTCTGAGGGCAGATTTGAATGTGGGCCTTCCTGACTCCAGGCCTCGCTTCTTGTCACTGCCCCCTCTAAGAGCCTTGTGAACGTCCTAGATATGGGTGAATCCAGTTTGTGGATGGCCCAAAGCTGGGGTGGGGGGCGAGACTAGCTGATGTACTGGATGCCAGAGGGAGGGTCCCAAGAGACCTCGAGAGATTGGGGCATTGGGCTGAATTTAATAAGATGGAATTCAATAGGGATTAATGTAAAGTCTTGCACTTGTGGGGAAGGCAGCTTGCAAATAATCAGCTTTGCAAGAACAAGGTGGAGAACGGCCTAACTGGACCAAGATTAGTCCAAAAAGTATTGGGGTGTCTGAGTGTACTACAAGCCCAATTTGAGCTAGGCGTGGGATGTGGTGGCCAGAGAAGCTACTGTGACCTTGGCCTGTATTGGGAGGGCCAATTGCTCCAGGAATATGGCGCTGTCCTTGGCAGAGCTCCTTGGTGTCTTTGAGGGCCGTTCTGGGTCCTACAGTTTCCGAAGGACCTTGATCAGTGGGAGGATGTCAGAGGAGGGAAGCCAGGAGGAGAAGGATTCACGGAAGGGTCTGAGGATTCACCGAAGGGTCTGAGCATGAAGGCCTGGGAAAGTGAAGCCTGGGGGAGAGCTGGAGGCTGTATTCGGATATTTGAAGGGGGATCAGCCCTGGGGGCCATGGGGGGCCAGGCTGGAAGGTCAGTTTGGGCTGGATGTCAGCTCCACCAATGACAGCTGTCTCCAAAAGGAGCAGACCCCCTTTCCTTGTCCCAGAGGGGATAGTGTGTGGAAGGGTGGCTCCTGAGAGGGCTTCGCCCTCAGAGGCCGTGGTTCTATGAGTGCCCATGCTGGAGACAGTGCCTGGAGTCGGTGGCAGGGTACCTAGGGCTCCTCCTTCCAGCTCAGTCCCTTGGGGCACCTTTGCATGTTGTGGGACTGGGCATCAGGAGCCCTGGGCACTACTCCTGCCACCCTCTTTCTGAGTGACCTGCCAGTCCCTTTCCCACCTTGTGCCTTAGTTTCCCCCTCTACTCCCGATGACCTCTCGGATCCCTTCCAGCTCTGACCCTCCGTGATTTGACTCTGGAATGTCTGACATATGCCAAATGGCTGGAGGAGAGATGATGGGAGTGGGGTGGGGGCAGCTGGCAGGGGGTCTTGACCTGCCTTCCCTCACATCTGGCTTGGTATCCTCCCTGACCCCAGCACATGCTCTCCACCTCACCCCACGTGGCTTCTAGCCGGAGCTCCATGGCAGGATTTCTCAGTCTGAATGCCCTCCCTTAGCTCAGCCAACCCAGACTCCCCTGCAAGCCTGGCCTGGCTTCCCCAGCCCCATGACCACAGCCCTCCTCCAGCATCACAGAGCCAGGGTGTGTCCGAGGCAGGACCCGAACCCGGGTCTTCCTGGCCCAGAGGCTGGCTCTCTCTGCTGTGCTGGGCATCTGAGATCTGCAAGGAAGCACCAGCTGAGCCCACGCTTACCTCTCTGGGCAACACCTCTCTTAGGAGACTCTCCCCATCCCCTTTTCTCTCTTCCAGGCGACTCTCCAAGTCAACTTTGCTTCTTATCCCACTGTTTGGAACTCACTACATCGTCTTCAATTTCCTTCCAGACAGCGCTGGCATGGGCCCCCGCCTCTGCCTTGAGCTGGGCTTTGGCTCTTTCCAGGTGAGGGGCCGATGTCTTCCATCACCCGCCCCGGGAGGGGCCGGGGTGCCCTTACTGCCCATGGGTACAGGGCCTCCAGTGGTCCACGGGCTCAGGCTGTTAAACCGGGCCTGCTGAGATGGAGCAGTGTCAAAGCTGGCTGCACAGTGGTTAGTGTAGAAGCTGGTGAGGCCAAAGTCAGTGAGGAGACCACCACCCACAGTCTATTGACCGTGCCATAATGCTGTAAGACTGACCTGACATACGCTCTGACCTTGTCACCCCCAATCATTGATAGAGTGTGCATCTGGTCACCATGGGAACCAAATAAGGCCATAAGTAGCCCTGTGGATGCCCAGGGCAGTTTGTGGAGGGAGGGATGCGCCCAGGACGGGGAGCTCCCTCTCTGGTAGCTTCCTACTTGGGCTAATTGTTCTGCTCAGGAACTAAGCTTACTTATTCTGACATTGCAAAAGTTCAAGTGCTGACAGCACTCTACATTTCAGTACCCTGGGGCAAAGTCCCATCTACCCTGCCTTAGTTATCGATCTAGATCAACCGATCATCCCTTGCCACTGTTAGGAAAGTGAATCAGAGGGCTCTCTGATGTGGAAGCCACATCTGCCCAACAAGGCAGTGAGCTCCTCAGAGGCCAGCAGAAGGTTGCCTGGGGATGTGGTGAGTGCCCCGTTCCAGGAGGTCTCCAAACAGAGGCTGAATGAGCACTTGTCTCAGATGGTGTTGCAAGGGTCTCTGATCAAGTGTGGGCTAGACAAGAGACCTCTGAGGCCTCTGCTGGCTCTGAGGACTGTTAGCCCACTCAAGGTTCAGAAGACAAGGCCAAGGAGAGTGGGGAGGGGAGAAGGAGGGCAGATCATTTCCCTCTGGAGTGACAGACTGGGCCTTGAGGATTTGGTGAGGCAGAGCAGAGAGCAGTCAGGGCAGGAGACAGGGCACAGTTGGGGCCAGAGCAGGAAATCAGGAAAAGGGTCTGGGGCCAGACGTGAAGGGCCTTGAATGTCAAGGCTAAAGAGCTACCATGAGGGGGTGGTGTGGGGCCAGACGTGAAGGGCCTTGAATGCCAAGGCTAAAGAGTTACCGCCAGATGTCTTTCTCATTCTTGCAGGGCTTCATCGTAGCTCTCCTTTACTGCTTTCTTAACCAAGAGGTGAGGCTGTGCCGCCCTGGCAATCCCTGGGCACCCCCGTGGGCACCCCCACTGGGCACCCCCACTTCCCACCCCCTCCCATCTCCCTAGTCTGGGTCCAGCCCACCCTGCCCTCTGGGGCTATCACCTCCCTCTAGCTCTCCAGGGAGCCCAGAAAGGTGGCCAGCGAGGTCCTGTGCCATTAGAAGGTACATGGCCATGCTCTTGGATGAAGTCCACAGTGGAGCAGAATGTGGGTTTGGTCCCTTGGGTCTCCCTGAAGATGCTTTGTTTAGGGCCCGGGTGGGGAAGAGGGATGAATGTCAGCAAGTGGGTAGCCTTTGTCCAGCCAGGCGTTTGGGGGGCAGGGCAGAAACACTTGGAAGAAAGAGGCCAGGAGCTCCATCCTGTCCAGGGGCTCCCAGACTTAGAGCCAGAAGGAGCGAGCATTTATTAAGTGCCTACTGTGTACCAGGTGCTGTGCTAACACTTCACAGTCATTATCTCATTTGATCCCCACATTTGCTCTGGGAGATAGGCGCTATCATCATCCCATTTTACAGTTGAGGAAACTGAGGCAAACAGAGATCAAGTAGTGACTTGTCCAGGGCCACACAGCTAAAAAGTGTCTGAGGGTGGATTTGAACTCAGGTCTTCCTAACTCCAGGCCACTGCCTCTAAGGCAGCTGGAAGGAATCTCAGAGGTCTTAGAGTCTCACTTCCTCATTTTATAGAGAAGGCACCAAAGGTCCAGGCTGGTGAAGGGCCTGGTAAAAGGCACAGCTGAGATTCGAACCCAGGCCCTCTGAATACAAATTCTGAGGGGGTAGGGAGAGGTCAAGAAGATATGATGTCAGAGAAGGGATGGATGGAAAAAGGGAGAGATGGAATGAGAAAGAAGAAAAGCAGAACGGGAGAGAAAAAGGAAAGGGGTGACTCCAGGTAGACCAAAGGAAAGCCCATTTCCTGAGAGGAGGCCGCCCTCTGGTGGCCAGACAGGCCACTGTCTAATAGGCACCTGCTAGCCCCTGACCTCAGCTCCCTCTGGCCCAGGCCGGCTGGCTCTGATGGGGAGGGCTGGGAAGAGGGTCTGGAAGGCCCTCGGGGTCCTGGGAGATGACCCTGGGAGAGAGCCAGACTGAGGGTCCACTTAAGAGAGAACCTGAGTGTGGGCCGGAGTCACTGAGGGAGACCCTGAGAAAAACACGGACGGGGAGGGAACTGCGGGAGGGAGAGAGTCTGCCGACAGCCCAGGGAGCACGGGCGCCCGACTCGGGGTGTCAGAACTGGGCCCTGGCTCTCTTGCCTAGAGCTTCTCCGGAGTCCACTTTCCCGAGAGGGCAGTCCCTGCCAACGACTGGGAGCCTGACACTGTCCCCTTCTGGTCTCCTCGAGGTCCGAGCTGAGCTGAGAAGGAGGTGGCACAGCCATGACCACGGCGTGTGGCTGACGGGGAGGCCGAGGCAGGCCAGGTGGAGGCCGGCCTATAGCTCGGGTCTGAGGGTGCCAACATCCAGGTGCTAGATCTGCCTGATGAGATGGGAGCCCCCAGCCGACCAGACCCAGCTTCATCAAACCAGCCTCAGGAGGGGCTCTACCACCCACTTCAACACGTCCTTCCTCATACCCCATCCTTTCCCGCTTCCCTTCTCTACCCCCCTCCCACAAGCCCAGTCCTGTGCTCAGATAAAGTTGAAGAGCCCGGAGGAGGAGGGTAGAGTTGGAAGGCACCTCCTGGGGGTGGGAAGGACAACACCCCCCCCCAGAACAGTTCAAGAGAGCTGTGGGACCCAAAGTCAATTCTCTTTCCTTCTCTCCAACTTTCCTGGCCAGCTTGCGCCTCCTCCACCGGGAAGCCTGCCTGAATGACTTTAGGCTGGGCAGATCCCTCCCTCCTCTGAACTTCCAGGCCCCAGGCCCTGGGCATGGTCCCTAAGCCAGCTCCTAGTCTCACACTGCCTCGCAGGAACCAGGAGGAGAGCTGTGGCCTGAAAGTTGTCCTGCGATGCGATGTGGAGCTGGAACCTTTGGGCAGACAGTGAGCTCCCTGAGGGCAGGGTAGCAGCCCAGCCCAGAGTCAGGCCGAGGTGGGGGAGGGGGCGTACACAGGGGTCACGTCAATCATCACGGCAATAATCTGCCGTCCACCTTCCACCTCCCTCGACTGACCTCCCTTCATGCCTTGTCCACGCCAGTCCCACTGGTCCGCCAGCTTTTCCCCATCCCCCTCCTCCACAGGCTCTCCCTCCAGCCCTCCTTGAGGCCTTTCCTGAGCCCCACCCCTGCTGATTAGCTCCCCTTTTGAGATGACTAGGTGCTGTTTCCTTCTTCCTCTCTACCCTCCTCCCAATAAAGTGTAAGCATCCCGAGGGCAGGAATTCCTTGGCTTTTACTTTTGTATCCCCAATGCCTAGCTCAGAGGAGACACTTAATAAACATTTAAGTTAAAATTAAACTCTCTCCATGGATCCCTGATTGCATGGTTGTAGAGACTGTCTCCATCACCTATTCGTGCTCCGTCATCCTGGCAGGCTCTCTGTTGTGGGGGAGAAAGGGTCGGTCTTAACTTCCCCAGGAGCAGTTCCAGGACTCACCGCTGGGGACGACAGAGAGCAATGCGTGGAGACACCTGCTGGCGCCGAGGATGAGCTTCAGAGAGTGATACCCCTAAAACCAGAAGCTGCCAGAATGGCCGGGGCAGGCAGGCTGGCTCCTTGGGGGGGCTGCAGCAGAGGGACCCACTACAGGGAACCGAGGGGAGCTGAGGAGCTAGCGAATGACGTGGAGAGAAGTAGGAGACCTTTAGATTCAGTGCAGCTCAGTCAAAAGACCGCAGTATGTCTGAGGAGAAGATGATGGGCAAAGTAGGGTCTGTCCTCAAGAAGATTACATTCTACCAGGGGATGATGAATGAGTCAATACAAAGTAACGTATGGAATTGATACAAAGTAACATACAGAGTCAATACAAAGTAACATAAGAGGGGGAGAGTCTAGCCCAGAGTGGGGATCCTTACAGGTCTCAGCTGGGAGCCAGTAATTAGGGGTTTTATGAAGTGGTGGTGAGAGGGAGCACACGGCAGGATCCCTTGTGCAGAGGCTTGGAGGAGAGAGATGGGAGGTAGAAAGAAGAATCCGCTAGCAGGGCGGCTTGGTTATAATGGAGAGTGGGAAGGAGAAAGTAATAGGAAATAAGTCTAAGAAGGTAAGTGGAGCCATACTAAGGAGGGATTCCAACGTCAGGCTAAGTTTGTCCTTTATTCTAGAAAGAGAAACTGGGGTTGGAGATCAGGAGCCCTGATCAATTCCTCACAATAATTTGGTAGACAGTCCCTCATTCAAAGATTTCGGTTGTATTTTCCCCTTCTTTCAATCAGACTTTATTTTTTATTTTTGGACACTTGTAAGAACAGAAAATGATTTTTCTTAGTAATCATTATCTTGGAAATTCAAAGCTTCCCCATCCCCCTTTCTTTCTAAGTTCAGTCCTTCTCCAGAAGGACATTGAGATGTAATCTAAACGGGTCTGTTTGTGCTCATTATGTTGCCTGGGGTCTGGGAGAATGGTGATTCCTCCCTATTGTCAAGATGGAAATTGAGGTCTCTTTGACCAGGATTGAGTGACCTGGGTCACATACTGAAAGACCCTCATTTTAATATGGTTCCCTCCCAGAGTTTATTGGCATCCCTTGGGAACACCTACTCTTTGAAGGGCATATAAGGCTGTACCCCCAAAACCCCAAATTGAGCTAGTTCTGGGGGGCCCAGTTTTGGACCGAACTCCCATGCAATGCATGTCAAGCCACCTTGAAAGAAATTAAACCATGGACACATGCACCCTGGTTTCATTTGTCTGTTAGAGCTGACTCTGTGATAAATCAGGGTTTGTGGGGCTTTTTTGGGTTCACACAAGTAAAGAGTCTGTCTCAATAGTCTTGGGGTATGCCCTGAGATTTTCCCAGGATTCTCAAAGGCATCTGAGGTACCCGGGTTATTCACAGTGAGAATGGAACGGTCCCAAGCCACTGCTGCTGGTGGTAAAGGTGAGTCTCTTATAGGACAGGTGCCAGTAGGTGAAGGGATCTTGTAAGGAATTGTTCTACACCAGAGGTGGGGAACCCACAGCCTCAAAGCCACTTGTGGCCCTCTGGGTCCTCAAGTGCAGTCCTTTGACTGAATCAAAACTCCACAGAATAAATTCCCTTGTTCTAAATTGTTCTGTAAAATTTGGACTCAGTCAAAAGGTCATACCCAAGGACCTAGAATGCCACATGTGGCCTCATGGCCACAGGTTCTCCACCCCTGTTTTAGAGCACGGGTCCACTGAGAACCTCCAATGACTGGTTTACCTTCTCAGGAGAGGGCTGCTTACCCCCTGGATGCCTGGAAAGACAGCGGAATTAGTGATTACAAGTTCTTCTCAAACTGAAAAACAGAAATACAGCAACAACCACCCACAGCCAACAGGTTTTTTAAAAATGCTAGAATGTTTACAAAGACATGTAGATTTCAGAAAAATGTCCTGGGCAAGCTGGAGGCAAGCTCTGATGTTCTGATAATTCTTAAGTGTGGTTAAATAGTTGGCATTGGGTTCTAGGGAAAGCATTGCAAAATGCTTTCCAGTCATTATCTCATTTGGGCCAAGAAGCAACCCTGTGAGGTAACGGGCACTAGAGGTGAAATGAACTCTCCTGTCGAGGTTAGGGTGAGTTACACGATGCCAGCAGGCTCCCAAGTGGAGCCCTCTATCCACTACTCCAATATGATGGAAACAAAACAGAAAGTTCACACAGATACTGTCTCAAAAGACTATATTGGGAGCAATCCAAGAAATCCCAAGAGAGAGCCTTGAAAATCAAACTTACACCCCAAAATCACAAGTCCAATTGAAGAGAAAACTGACCTGTCTGGGACATTTCTAGAGGAGACCATGGGGCAAAACCCCTGAGGAAAAAAAATGGAAAGTCAAATGAACTAATTCAGCAAATGACTAAACATTCTTTGGAAGCAAAGTAGGGGGGAAATGACCATCTGTGAGGAAAGACCAGGAGGGAGAATCTCAGAATCAGGGATTCCACAATCCCAGGTCCAGAGCTGAAAGGGACTTCAGAAACCACGGAATACAACGTGGCTGTTGTCCTTCGTTCTGGAGGACCAAAATGACCTCACTATACTAGAGTCAAGTTACAGTGAGTCTGACTGTGGTTGATCAGCCCAATACAAGCTTGGAATGCTCTACCGCAGGTCAGACACAAATAGTGCACATGAACATTTGGGATGGGTTCTCTAAATTTGGGCAGCTCGCGTTTCTTTTGAGCTACTTCAACTCTGCTTTGCTCACTCTGAGCACAGCACCTTCTCTGATGAGGGCACGCCATGCTGGCCAGTCCTGTGCTACTATCTCCCACATCACACAATCCATTCCAAAGTTCTTAAGAGAGACCTTGAGAATTGTCTTTATATTGCAATGAACTCATCTTACAGATGAAGAAACTGAAGCCCAAAATGGTTGCCCAGGGTCCCACAGGCAGTAGGTATCTGAAGTACTCTAACTCAGGTCTTCCACACTCCATTCATTGCAAAGAGAATCCATCCACCAAAGAAGAGAGTCGGATCCCCACATTTTTAAAAATTCCCGTGACTGTCCAAACAAGGACCCTGAAAACAAAAAGAATGCATCAAATGCCAATAGGCAGATCATGAGGATCCCATTAACTCAGTGCACTTCAGCAGCAAACTTCAGACAGAACCCTTCGAGCCCCCAGAAGGAAGAGGATGAGCTGGTCAGAGTGATCTGCCAGGAGCTCAATAACAAGGCAAGGACTGAAGCCCTGGCATCAACTAGACGCCCTTTAAGACTGTGAGCTTGGATTCCAGAATCTGCTGCTGGAGCCTCAAGCATCCTGGAGGGATGAGAAAGCTGGACTCAAAGGGCTTCACAGAATCTGTGGATTTCTCTCTGAAATCTTCCTCGAAGAAACTCAGGGGTGAGAAAAAGCCTCTTGTATCATTGGCCTCGTTCAATTACTCGAAGATACAGCTGGGCCTGAGCTGGAAGGGAAGGGAGAGTGGTGATCAAAAAGCAGAAAGGAACCTGAGGGCAGAACTGTGAGAGGGCATTGGCTAAAGCCCTCGAAGCGGCCCAAACAGCCTGCAAGCTGGGCTCAGGGAGTCTGCCTTCCACTGCCGGGCAAAATCTAGGACAGATCAATAAGGAGATAGTTGGTGAAAGTCTACCAAAGGAAGATATGCTCAAAACACCAGCCTTTTCCCATCAAAAACAAGTCATAACTCAATTTGATTTCATGTTCTTTCTTCCTTCCTTTCTCTCTCCCTCCCTTCTTTCCTTCCTTTCTCTCTTCTTCTTCCTCTTCTTCTTCTTGTTCTTCTTCTTCTTCTCCTCCTTCTTCTCCTCCTCCTCCCCCTCCTCTTTCTTCTTCTCCTTTTTCTTCACCTCCTCCTTCTCCTCTCTGTCTCTGTGTCTCTGTCTCTGTTTCTCTGTCTCTGTTTTCTGTCTCTGTCTCT